TGTATCTGATACGGGCTCAATATCCAGAATATATAAAGAACTCCTATAACTCAACAACAAAAAGACAAACAAACCAATCAAAAAGTGGCCAAAAGACTTGAATAGATATTTCACCAAAGAAGATATACGAACGGCCAACAAGCACGCGAAAAGATGCTCAATGCCATTAGGGAAACACAAATCAAAACCATAATGAGATACCACTCTACACCCACTAGGATGGTTATATGGCAAAACAAGTCATAGAGAGGATGTGGAAAAATTGTAACCCACATCCATTTCTAGTGGGAATACAAAATGGTGCAGCCATTGTGGAAAACAGGCTGGCAGTTCCTTAAAAGTTAAACATAGAATTACCATATGACCTAGCAATTCTACTTCTAGGTATATACCCCAAACAGTTGAGAGCAGGGACTCAAACAGGTCCTTGTACATCAGTATTCACTGCAGCATCATTCACAACTGTCAAAAGGTGGAAAACCTAGTGTCTATCAACAAATGGATGGGTAAACAAAATGTGGTCCATAAGCCCATGGAATATTACTCGGCCATAAAGAGAAACGAAGTTCTGATGTGCGCTACGACATGGATGAACCGTGAAAACTTCACTCTAAGTGAAATAAGCCAGACATGAAAGGACAAATATTGTATAATTCCACTCATATGAAATATCTAGAATAGGCAAACGCATACAGAGCCAAGTTTCTTAGTAGTTACCAGAGGCAGGCGGAAGGAAGAAACGGAGACTCACTGCTTCAGGCGTAGGAGTTGCTGCCAAGGGTGATGGAAAACACTGGAAATGGTGAGTGGTGACGGTTGTATAACAGTGAATGTAATTAATAACAACTGAATTCTACATCTAAAAATGTTCTGTTTTATATTTTGTTGTTTATATGTATTTTATCACAGTAATTTTTTTTAATAGCAATCCATAGTTAGCTAAAATGAAGCCAATAGGACATTTGGATAAACGGTCTTTCAAACACAGCCTCGATGGCGCAGTGGTTAAGTGCTTGGCTGCTAATTGAAAGGTTGGCGGTTCAAACTCACCAGTCGCTCTGCAGGAGAAAGCTGTGGCAGTCGGCTTTCCTAGAAATTACAGCCTTGGAAACCCTATGGGGCAGCTCTACTCTGTCCTATAGGGTCCCTATGAGTTTGAGTTTAGACAGAGTATAAAATAGATTCACTCTGGGCCTCAAGTTATCTGAATGAACTATTTTTTCTGTCTGAACTCAAGTGTATTCAGGCTTCTACTTTGGCTGAAATAATCTCCTTAGGATACAAGATTTGCCACAGAACATTAATAAATTCTGGAAGGATGGGGACTCACTGCTGTATGTGTCTGGGAGCATCACCACTTACTGGAAAGAGCAATGTAAGGACTGCCACCGGTTGAGCTGGAGTGCTCAAAGGCATCTTAGTCATCACATGCTGCTATAACAGAAATACCACAAGTAGAGGGCTTTAACAAACAGGAAGTTTATTCTCTCACAGTCCAGTACGCTAGAAGTCTGAATTCAGGGCACCAGCTCCAGGAGAAGGCTTTCTCTCTCTGTCGGCTCTGGGGGAAGGTCCTTGTGATGCATCAGTCTTCCCTTGGTCTGGGAGCATCTCAGCATAGGAACCTCAGGTAAACGACACACTCTGTTCCCCGTGCTGCTTTCTTGGTGATATGAGGTCCCCGTGTGTCTCTGCTCTCTTCTTTTATATCTCAAAAGAGACTGGCTTAAGACACTATCTAATCTTGTAGATCTCATCAATAAAATGATGCTAATCCAGCTCATTAACATCATAGTGATAGGATTTACAACACGTAGGGAAATCACATCAGATAACAAAATGGCAGATAATCATACAATACTGGGAATCATGGCCTAGTCAACATATATTTTTGGGGGACACAGTTCAGTCCATGACAGTACGCTTGGCTGTGATCCTTGATCCTGAAAGCCTGCCCCAGCACTGACAGAAGCACCCATGTCACGGGTTACAGGCCTCACCTCATGTTCGTTCACATTTCTTTTCTTTTTTTTTTTTTTTTTGTGCTTTCAGTGAAACTTGACAGAGCGAATTAGTTTTTCATTCAAGAATTCACACACAAATTGTTTTGTGACGCTGTTTGCAATCCCCACAGTGTGCCAGCACTCTCCCCTCCCTCCACACTCCATTCCCCATAGTTATTCTGTCCAGTTTTCCTGTCCCTTCCTGCCTCCTCGTCATTGCTTTCGGGCAGGCGTTGCCCTTTTCGTCTCGTATACTTGATTGAACTAAGAAGCGCGTTCCTCACGTGTTATTGCTTGTTTTATATATATAGATACATATATAAAAAGCAAACCCACTGCCGTCACACTGATTCTGACTCATAGCGACCCTATAACACAGAGCAGAACTGACCTATAGAGTTTCCAAGGAGCAGCTGGTAGATTCGAACCGCTGACCTTTTGATTAGCAGCTGAGGTCTTAACCACTGTACCACCAGGGGTCCTGTCTAATCTTTGGCTGAAGAGTGGACTTCCAGAGTCTTTCATATTTCTGACCAAACCTTTCCCCATCTGGGAAAGTTTTGGGGAGAAATTCCTCCTAAATTCTGTATTCCTCTTTCCCCTAACACTTCCCTCGCGGCCTCCATGACTGGGAGCAGAGCTGCAACACCACAAAACCAAGGGGGCATTGAAATCAAAATGCAAAATACTATGTGCACATAGAACCGATGAAGGAAATTCACCTGGTACGCCCTGCTCCGGGAACCCTAGTGGCGAAATGGTCAAATGGTCTGCTGCTAACAGAAAGGTCTGAAGTAAGAACCCACCAGCAGCTTTTGGCGAGTAAAAAAGACCTGGCAATCTGCTCCTGTAAAGATTCAAAAAAAATCCATTGCCCGAGTCCACTCAGACTATAGTGACCCTGTAGGACAGAGTAGAACTGCCCCATAGGGTTTCCTAGGCTGTAATCTTTATGGAAGCAGACTGCCACGGCTTTCTCCTGTGGAGCGGCTGGCGGGTTTGAACCACTGACTTTTCAGTTAGCAGCCTGGCGCTTAACTAATGCGCCAAGAGGGCTCCATGAAACTATATATAGCTCAGAGTACTTCAGAAAGATGTTACTAAAGGACTTTTAAAATAGAAAAGAAAACAAAGAAAGAAATTGCTCAGGTCAGGGCAATGCTGAGGCACTGGACGGCTAACCACACCTCTTTGATGTGGGCGTGGCAGGAATCTGAACAAGGCCAGCAGAACAAATCTGATATTCTGTGTGCACGTATATGTCAATCACAGGACAAACCAAGTTATTTCACTGATGTTTATTTTGCGGTATTGCTTTTGTTTTCATAAATGGTGGGGGCAGGAAAGGAAAGACAGAATTGACCTAAAAGGTCTTCTCGATGCTCCGCCCACAAGAAGGACCCAGCACCTCTGTCCACAAGGCCCCAAAGCTGGGGGAAGGGAAGGAGAGCTTAGGTTTTCCTGAACTGCCCTTGGTAAGGAGTCCCTGGGTGGTACAGTACTCGGCTGCTAACGGAGAGGTTGGCAGTTAGAGTCTACCCAAAGGTGCCTCAGAAGAAAGGCCTGGCAATCGACTTCCAAATAATCAGCCTTTGAAAACCCTATGGGGCACAGTTCTACTCTGACACACGTGGGGTCGCCAGGAGTCAACTGGTTTTGCCCTTGGTAAGTTAAGTGGGCCACTTTCTAGACCTCTCTCCCTGTGAATCAGACTGAGGGGCCCTTGCTTCAGAAAACCCTGCTATTAAAGTCTTCAGGACCCTGTTACATTCATTTTCCCTTATATTACGGTGAGCACCAAGGTCCACACAGTACATGCGGGATGTGTGTGTGGTGGGGGTGTGGAGTGAAGAACGCATTTCAGTTTCACCCCTGGGCGACTTCTAGGGGGCAACTTTTAGGCTTCTCCGTAGATTAGTCAGTATCTGGGCTTTCCAGGGTCTTGGAGCTGAGACCCAGGGGAAATGATGTTTTGCAAACGTGGTAACTAGGTGGCCCCGACCTTTTCATGAAGTCAGCTGAGGAAAGCTGTATCTGACTCCAGAGAAAATGGGAAAGATGTAATGAGTGTCCTGATTCGCCAGTCCTTATTACAGCAAAAGGAACAATTTCGAAAAGCAGGTTAGCTACTACAACATGCCAAGGAACAGAATCATGATTTTGCCCTAAAAAAGGTTTTCCTGCAAGCTTTCCCCCTTGGTACCATCTCACACCCAGCCTTCTCTTCCTAAGGGCTGCACTGAAGGTGGACATCACTTGGAGTTGTTTCCCACCCCAGCATGAATCCAGCAGCCTCACAACAACCGCGCACTCAAGAAAACCATTTAACATCTAAGCTAAAGAAGTGATGTTTAAAATGCTTCATTTATTTTTATACACATTCGATCTTCTTGGAAGTGGCATTTCGTACAAAGTAAATAGGAACTGGCTGTTCTATTTTGGGTCCTTTAAAGGCTAAACTTGAGTTCCAGCACTGAATATCCTTGGGCAGGCCACTTAACTTCTTTGACCCTCGGGGCCTTGTATGTAAAATGGTCATAAAATAGTGCTTCCCTCAAGAGGTTGCTGTTGAAGCAAACGAACTAACAGAGGTGACCATTGGACACAGGCTTCCCCCCTAACTAAATTAACTCCTAGGCCCTAATGGTATTTTACCTTGTCTAACTTATTAGGGGAGTCTCTGGGTGGTGCAAATGGTTAATGTGCTTGGCTGCTAACCGGAAGTTTGGAGGTTCCAGTCAAACCAAACGCTCCACGGAAGGAAGGCCTGGTGATCTACTTCCTAAAAATCACCACGGAAAACCCGAACAAACACACATGGGGTCGTCATGAGTCAATGTTGGCAAGAAGGCAACTTTTTATTTATCAGAGAAAAATGGTAAGAGATACCCAAGAAGGGCAGCAACAGGTGAAGGGATTCAAAACAAAGGGCAGGTGGGAAAGTCCTACCGTTGACCTTGATCCCCATGGATGAGAAGCACCATTAGATGTTGTTAAAACGGCTTTTCCAACCTGGTCCCAGCACAGTGGCTGCGTGGTGAGAAGAAGGGCGGTTCTGCCATCCGTGAGGTGGTGGCCACAGAGGACAATGTCGACATTCACAAGTGCATCCATGGCGTGGGCTTCCGGAAGCGTGCCCCTTGGAAACTCAGCAAGATCCAGAAATTTGCCATGAAAGAGATGGGAACACCAGGTGTGCACACTGACACCGGGCTCAACAAAGCTGCCTGGGCCTAAGCAGTGAGGAACGTCCTGTGCTGTATCCGTGTACGGCTGTCCAGGAAAATGTAATGATGTTGAAGAGTCACCAAACAAGCTCTATACATCGCTTACCTATGTACTGTCACTACTTCCAAAAACTCACAGACGGTCAATGAAAACTAACAGCTGGTTATTAAGTCATGTTATAGAAACTGCGCCCCCACCCCACCCCCCAAAAAAAAGTTGTTACAACCAATAGGCATGTTCTTCTTACTCACGGACAGCAGTGAGTTTTGTGTACTTATTCTGTTTATTGGAAAGAAAGTCAGATGTGACAGTCTAAAAGAGTGAGCTGGTTCCCAGAAGCAGAAATGGACAGCCTGTGTCCGGCCTTGTGCTAATTTCTCCCCGTACCCAGGACTCTAACCTCCTTATCTCACACATGTGTCAGAGGGGCAGATATGGACAGCGCCTAGAGAGATAACGGAATTCAGTGAAACGTTAGCAGTTCTGTCTGCTGTGTTTTTCCTCCAAGTATTTCTGGGATGATGGATGCACTGGCTAAGGCTGGGGAAAGTGTCATATTTGGATACTTGCTGGATTCCGGCTGGAGAAGGAAGCTCCTGATTTTACAGGTGAAGAAGCATCCTCAGTCTCAGAAGGGAAAAGAAATTGTTAAACACTTGGCGGGGTCAGTGGACCTGCCCTGCCACCTGCGAGGTCTGTGACCAGGGAAGGAAAAGTACCTCTGCTTTCTGAACCTCCAGTTCTTCATCCAGAAAATGTGAGCCATGTTTGCACCAGATGATCACTGAGGCCTTCCCTTCCATCTCAAAACTGATTTATTAACCAGAATTTTTTTTCTTGGGGTGGGGGTTTGTTTTAAGTTTCCAACTCCAAGAATAAACTCCTGGTTCATTGGGAATTAGATCCCTGGGTGGTACAAACGGTTTATGCTCAACTAATAACCTAAATGTTGGTGGTTCAGACCCACCCAGCAGTGCCACGGAAGAAAGGCCTGGTGATCTGCTTCCATAAAGATCACAGCCAAGAAAACCCTATGGAGCAGTTCAACTCTGTAACACATGGGGTTGCCATGAGTTGGAATCAGCTCAACAGCAGCGGGTGTTCCCTGCTCTTTAGGGGATTCTGAAACAGGAAGAACGTAACAGTCTTCTTCCAGGGTGGTGAGAGCTGACCCCAATTCCACAGGCCAACCTTCTTTAGGAAAAAAAAAGAAAGGTCAGAAGAAACAGCACATGTCACATTTATTACAGAGAAAGGCCTGCATCCCAGAAAATCTCAGAACCCATGTGAATACACGGTGTCCATTTTATTTGGATTGAATTCTTAGATATAAAAGGTTACAGGTACTCGGTTCTTCTTAATGGCAAAATAGTCAGAAAGCAAACTACCCAACTCCTCCCCAACTGCCAAGACAGGATTCAAAGTGTCTAGCCTCTCAGGTATAAGTATTTCACTTTCTGCCATTACTTCTCCTTTCAAGGGAATGCTAGGATATACTGTGTTTTTAATTGCTAGAGTGTAACTTCTCTGAAAAAAAAAAAAAATCAAGTACTTTATTCAAAACGAAAACACCTTTCACAACGGGACACTATGCAATGGTAAAGAAAAATGATGAATTCGCGAAACATCTCACAACATGGATGAATCCGGAAGGCATTACGCTGAGTGAAATAAGTCAATCACAGAAAGACAAATATTGTATGAGACCGCTATTACAAAAACCCAAGAAAAGGTTTATACGCAGAAAGAAATAATCTTTGATGGTTACGAGGGCGGGGAGGGGTGGGGAGGGAAAATCACTAACTAGATAGTAGACAAGTGTTAACTGCCCCTAACAGTATAGGGGAAGTCAGCACAATTCGACCAAGGCAAAGTCATACAAGCTTCCTAGACGAATCCAAACACCTTGCGGGCCCGAGTTACTGGGGCCGGGGCTGGGGATCGTGGTCTCCGGGGATAGCTAGGCCAACCGGCATAACATAGTGCATAAAGAAAATGTCCTACATCCTACTTTGGTGAGTAGCGTCTGGGGTCTTAAAAGCCTGCGAGCACACATCCAAGATACAGCTACTGCTACCACCCAGTTTGGAGCAAAGGCGAATGAAGAAAACCAAAGGCAAAGGGAAAATATCAGTCCAAAGGACTAACGGACTGCGTGAACCACAGCCTCCACCAGTCTGAGCCCAGAAGAACTAGGCGGTACCCAGCTACCATCACCAACTGCTCTGACAGCGATCACGATAGAGGGTCCCGGACAGAGCGGGAGATAAATTGAGAACAAAATTCAAATTCACAAAAAAAGACCAGACTCCCTGGTCTGACAGCAACTGGAGGAACCCCCGAGACTACGGCCCTCGGACACCCTGCTAACTCAGAAATGAAGCCCCTCCCGAAGTCCACCTTTCAGCCAAAGATTAGACAGGCCTATAAAACAAACAATAACACAAGTGAGAAATGTGCCTCTTAGTTCAATCAATTATGAGACCAAATGGGCAACATGTGCCCAAAAGCAAAGACGAGACGGCAGGAAGGGCCAGGAAAACTGGATGAATGGACATGGGGAACCCTGGATGTAAAGGGAAAGGAGGAGAGAGCTGACACATTGAGAGGACTGCAACCAATGTCACAGAACAATCTGTGTACAGATTTTTGAATGAGAAACTTAGTCGCACTGAAAACTTTCACCTAAAGCACAGTAAAATTAAAAAATGACAACACCTTTGAGCTGGCATTTACCCAGCTGGGTGTGCCTGGAGTTTGAGTGATAAACGGGTCACAGCCGTGAATAAGAACAATATGTTCCATTTTTAAGGCACTTTTAACAAACGCTCTCTCCTCTGATTTTCATCCTTCATTATTGTTGTTGTTGGGTGCTGTTGAGTCACTTTCGACTCATGGCCACCCCACGTGTTAGCAAAACTGCCCCATAGGGTCTTCTTGGCTGCAGTCTTTACAGAAGCAGATAGCCAGGTCTTTCTCCCATGAAGCCGATGAGCGGATTCGAACTACCAACCTTTCATTTAGCAGCCAAGCACTTAACCAGTTATGCCACCAGGGCTCATTTCAGTATCAGTATCTGCCTTTGAGAGATGAAGAAACTGAATCTTGAAGTCTATGTTCACTTGACCACAGTGACCAAGTTGGACAGCCAAAGCTTTCTACCGCTGGACGAAAGCTGTCTCCATGAAACCATTTAAAATGACGATGACCCACACAGCAACAGCCAGTCACATGCTGTGATTTAAAATCTGCTCACAGGTCAATGCTGGCACACGCGAGGAAACGGTTGAGATGTTTTATAGGTACTTCGTACACACAGGTTGCAATATACTCCAGAGCTGCCAAATCCGGAGCTGTTAGAAAACACAAAGCATCAAGTAAGTACTTCCTAAACATGCCACCCACAGGAGCACAAAATGGGGAATGAGAGACTGCACTACCTGATAGAGATCTGTACTGAGACACACGGCAAGACTGAAGCTTCAGAAGATTTTTTAACAAAAAGTAAATCTGCTGCAAAAGACCTCTTTAAAGTGTTGAAAAGCAAAGGTGTCACTTTGAGGACTAAGGTGCACCTGACCCAAGTCATGGTGTTTTCAATCGCCTCATATGCATGTGAAAGCTGGACAATGAATAAGGAAGACAGAAGAAGAACTGATGCCTTTGAATTGTAGTGTTGGCGAAGAATATTGACTATACCATGGACCGCCAGAAGAACAAACAAATCTGTCTTGGAAGAAGTACAGTCAGAATGCTCCTTGGAAGTGAGGATGGCGAGACTTCGTCTCACATACTTTGGACATGTTATCAGGAGGGACCAGTCCCTTGAGAAGGACATCATGCTCGGGAAAGTAGGGGTCTCAGTGAAGAAGAGGAAGACCTCAATGAGATGCACTGACACAGAGGCTGCAACAATTGGGTCAAACACAGCAATGGTTCTGAGGATGGCACAGGACCCGACAGTGTTTCGTCCTGTTGTACACAGGCTCACTAGGAGTGGGAACCAACTCAACGGCACCTAACAACAACAACAGCAAAGGTTAGATAGTCTGCTGAATGGTGCAATTGGTTAAGTGCTCATCTACTAGCTGAAAAGTTGGCAGTTCGAACCTACCCTGAGGTGTCCTGGAAGACAGGCCAGGTGATCTGCTTCCGAAAGGTCACAGCCATGAAAACCCTAAAGGACAGTTTTCCTCTGCACACATGGGGTCTCCAGGAATCGGCATCTACTCAGCAGCAACTACAACAACAAAGGACTCAGGGACCTGGGAGCTGAGACTCGGGATGACGAAAGGTGAGTGACAGCAAAGGAAGCCGAAAATGAGGTAGAGGTTGCAAGCCTGAGGGACTGGAAAAGTTAGGACTGAGATGTGCAATGGAGGAGAGGGGTCTGTTTTCATCAAGGCATCTTCAGCTCCAAATTGAAAGGCCCCACGCTTCGCCTGAACAGTCTCCCAAAGTGGACCCTTTCCAATCAAATGAAAGTGCAGAAGACAGTCTAGGGTGGAGGCTTTTTATGACCTGCCCTCCACGTTGGCAAAACTGGTTCACAGGGATGAGTCATAGATTCCAAAAGACGTATGACAGGTGGCAAGCACATCCATAATCCTGGGACCAGGTGGGACAGGCCACCTCACCACTCTCAGCGCGGAGAGCTATCGGCCTAGGATGGAAAAGTGGAAAGTTCCAGAGGCAGCTTGAAAATGAGAAACTCTCTTACCCCGAATGACAGGAAAACAGTTTGTCCCAAGCCATAAATCCAAGAGATTATTACCAGCCAAGGAGTGTGTATAATTGGAAACGGGCATGTTTTCTGACTTGAGAGATCATAAAACGTCTACAGAACTACCATGCAAACTTGCTTTGAATGAGTTTCTCTCTGACACTTGTCGTGAAGGGGAAGAGAGGAGAAGTCATAAAAACAGAATCCTCTCTGACCATTGAAGAGGACTCGGCAAGGTCACAGAGTAGGGTCTGCTTTTGGTATTTAGATGAAGTGTATTCCAGTGAGACACAGCGAAGCTCCTCTGATGGCACTCCACTCAACCCATCTGCTCCCGTTCCCACCCCAAACCAAACCAGAAAAACGAAACCCGTTGCTGTCAAGTCGATTCTGACTCACAGCGACCCTCTAGGACAGAGAAGAACTGCCCCAC